TGAAATTTCTGTTGGTGAAAGGTACGTATTAAATGAGATTAACCCAACTATCGGATGTCTTTCGTTTGCTAATGCCTGTGTCTCATCATTACGGAGAGAACAACACGTAAGCAAAATTCACAAAACGGGAAATGTTGTAATCGAGGAAGATGACAGTCAGGAAATTAACTAAAGTCTTTGGAATGGTTCTTTTTGTCATCAAAATTAATGTTTTACCCGAAAGAATAGTTTCAAGATGATTGGATTTTAGCCCTCGTACTTAAAATGATGACGATGTGGGGACAAATATTTTAAGGACTTATTTACCTATGTACAAGGCGATGACAGACACATACAAATTTTATGAGAATCGACTGTGCACATAACAAAATGACAAAATGTAACAAAAAAAACGAGACAACATCTTCACACTCTGTCTGTAAAATTCTAATAATAGAACGAGTTTTTATCGAAAATATTGTCGAGTGGTTTATCGTCGAGCATAAATATGGAGTCAGTCAGTTTGACTGGAAGGTCCGTCTAATGCATGTAATTGTTTCATCACCTGTAAAATCAGAGCAATCTGTCTCAACCTGAATGTTGGCTGTTGGTGGGACAGTTATTGGGGAGGTTAACTATCAAGTGATTAATGCCAGCAGGGCAATCCTGTTTCACTGTTGTCGACATTTGTGTTGTGCTATTAAACGCTAAACGAAGATCTGGCGATATTCGGGGTGTTGTTGGTTGGCGATGGTGGTGCAGGAATTGAACAAACTTCGTTAAAACCACTAGTCAGCAGGTAAAGGTTAAGCGTACATAATCCGGATCGCCAAGGGTAACTTCGTAAGTAAGCCCATGGAGCTTGCTATCAAGTGATCTCAACTCAAGTGTCTCAACCAACCATCAAGGCAACCTGGTCTGGCTAACTAGTTGAACGCTTCTTCTTCTTCTGGTGCCTGGCATTTAGTTTTCTCATTATTATTTTCTCTATGGTTGATTGTGTTAAGATTAGAGGAGCCTGTGTCATGGAGGATTTTTTCGCCCTTAAAAAACCCGATCCTTCCCTGATAAAGAGGGACTACACGGATAAAGCTACACCTTATAACTTGCAAAATGTACACAAGCATCTTCCTCCTCCTCGTCACTCTCCTATCTTCCCCGTAAGCATTTATTCACGTTTTACTTTATTTTATGATCGCATCACACACTCCTCGAATGCGGTGGACCAAGATAGAAGAAATTCTTTGTTTCATCCATTTACTCTCAGGCAGGATAAAGATGTGTATTTATACGTGTGCATGTGATGTGTAAATATACCTATGTATATGTTTATTTAGTGGAGAAGAGGAAGTATTTAGATCCTCTTTAATAATCAAGCCCAGTTTTCTAGCAAAAAAAGCGACACATTTTGGTTATTTTAATCGGTAATTACACCATCCACATGACTTTAGAGATAATGGTTTGGCATGTGCAAATTTTTGTCTAACAATACCCTTCAACTCTTGCTCACCAGCATTATCGTTTATCAAGAAGAGCGATAAGAGCGACGTAAAGAAGAATTTCTCATAACCCACGTCATAGGTATTAGAAGGAGAAGGAGAAGACGAAGGATAGTTTGGTAATCAACAGACGTGGAAGTAGAAGGAGCTCACAACTGCAGAATCTCAGAACCTCCAAAAGCCACTCACCCCCAGCATCAACTACGGACTATCAAGTATCATTCCTTACATTGAATTATAACATTAATAAAGATTTTTTTAGAGAAATGATGATGGACTTTCCCCTTCAGTTCCAAATTCCAACTCAAACATCTTTATTATCTCTACAATGCAATGCCAAGCAATCACTGTCTCACCGCCTGATCAGTAGTTACATATGTACATCTCTGCATATAAATATCTCATCTCATGGCTCTCCAACTAACTGCACAATTTTTTTGGACAACCATTAGTCAATAATTAATTATAGGCGGCTATGGTCAGATTTCCTCATAATGATCCCCAACAAACTTGTGGTATTATTTCAAAAGGGTGAACATATTGTCATCCTAATAAATAATTTAACAATTTATTTCGCTACAGTTTCGCATGATTATTGAAAACCAATTATAGATTCCCCCATTGGTTGTATATAAATTGTAGCCATCAATCTTAATACTATCACAAGTACTTATAATAATGATTCATTCAAAATACATTGATATTATCAACGGACGAATGCTGTAAGCCGATACCCATCGAGATTTAATGTTATTAGATAATGTATGTATGAATGATCACTCAGTGACCACGTGATTTTTATAATTTCATAAGATGTTCATCCGTCACTCATCATCAATATTTTTCACTACATAATAGAGAATTCTTTGTATTCGACGATTTCCTTTCAGGTAAACTTACACTGCAACTGAGAAGTTCAGTTCAGCCGGTACAAATACAAATAAGGAATTACCTTTATTGACATAAAATTCTCCCCCATGAAGCAACATCGCTGATAAAAATTACTTTGTAAATTTTATTATCGGCCAGGTAAACAATGATGAAGATATAAACTATAGTTTAGTAAAAAACGGTACAGATAAGGTAACGTTACTGATAATGCTTCCAATAAAACTAGCATTATCACCTTTTGTGACCTATGAAGTGGCCTTTCTAGAATATAATACTAACTGCTGCAACAGACAAACTGATTTTTTTGTGCATTACTGAAGAATATTTACATGAGGCGTAGGAAGATCGAGGAGAATTATCAAAATCACTAAACTTGGCTTGTTATTTCTAAGAAGAAACTTCTATTATTCAAGTTGCTTCCCGATTCTGGAGGAGATCAGATTGCAGCATTGTGAGACAAAGTCCAACATTTCCCATGTATGCGGTATGCAAACTATATATACGAGTTGCCAGTCTAGTGAGTATTTCAGTGAATTTCAGTCAGAGTCCACATCTCATCTTCCCCAGAGTTGGCTTAGTTTAAGGTTTGAACGCATTGTATCGAGTGTGGGATAAGAGAACAAAGCGCAATAGTTTGGCAGATAAGTAGGAAGAGAATAAATATCAAATAGGAGTTGGTGGGATTGGGAGGAGGAGGATTCCGAGGAGAGATATATCTTGGAAATTTGGCGTATTCAACAATTTCATTGTTGTTGCGGTTATCTCTCTATAGACGAATCTCATTACTCTCAGTTAACTCATCTTGGCCTGGAGCAATGTCTCTTCTTACATATTACACAGAGCTGGGCTGGTTGTTGGCTGCCTTGCTCTGTTTTATTTGGTGCTCACAATTTGGAAGAGATAGTAAGTAAACATCTTGGATCATGGAGTCGGAGTAACGAAGCTTAGCTGTGGAAACTTGTCAACTGATAATGCTCTAATCCACATGAGCTATGAGGATACGACTTCTTAAGCAAACTCACTTTCTCTCTCTCTCTCTCTGGGGCCGCCGCTTAGCTTAACCTCACAAATTATTTGATGATGATGAGTGGTAATAATTTGTGTGAACGACGAGATTATTTAAACCAAAACATTGAATGGTTGAACTTGGTTGACTTGACATTATCGCAATCAAAAGTTTGTTTCTTTTGGCTGATTCTCAGGACAGTGTTAAGGAATAGTGGTAATAACTATTCGAGCAGTTTCCTACGTTTGTATGTTCATAATTATTCATGGTAGTTTTTGAAAAACCCGAAATATTATTTGGCATATTTTTCTTCTAAGTTAAATTAAGCAGGATTTTAAAATTGTTTTATTACTTGTTCATTAATACATTTGTATTATTAACATCAACATTTTATCGAAAATAAAAAAGTAATGTTGAGTGGATTTGATAATTTTGTTTCGCTGCATATTTACATATACGTTGCCTGAACTTTATACATTTAATGTTTTGCTCATTTCTTGATAAACAAGTTATCTACTTTCAACTTATCTACTTCTTTAACCAGAAATATGTATACATAAGTCTTCCTGTTGTAGTAATCAATTTTTTTCAGCGACTATGCTCTCAGCAGCTATTTTTCGATTGCGTATCAATAATAATATCACCAATTTCCTCTCAAATTGCTCATACTTGATCCTACGAATGGCTGCAAAGCTGCTGGATAAGTAACCCCTATTATCAAAATTGTGTAGCCACAATTCCACACGTACAAGTACACGAGACATATTTACATATGTATATGGAAGGGGCAATTTGGTCCATTGTTTACAACATGGTCTAAACACTCATGCATATTTCTCATGTCATTGCCAGACTTAATTAAGGTGGGTCATGCCATTTCATCCAGGCCATTCTAAAACTTGAATTGATCAGATATTTTATAACGAGTTTTGAACAACATTGTTTTATGCTCTCATTTCCCAACGCTGAGAGCATTATGCATTGGTTAGAGACGTCTAAATAATTACTTGTTTCGCTATCTACACTCCATCCCGCTATTTGGACATGAAATGTCTTGAGGGAAATAGAAAAATTGAAATTAAGATGGTAATTTATGTCGACTGGTGAAATAATGGAGCTTTTGTTGTGCTGGGCAAATCGCTGTCAATATTGGAAAATTGCGAGCTTGGATGCCAGACACCGGAGGTAATACCCATACTTTCCAGGTGGCTTCATTTGCAACTGTAATTATCAGTGCGACACTGGATTTGGATTAGTTCCATGTTATTAATGTGAATTGGTAATGATCAAGAGCTGAGCCTACGTACCCACGTATTCAACATTCGCTACGAGGCGGGTTGGCGACAAGAAAATGAGCACTAAAATTTTTACGAGTACTTGATCGGAGATTGCATGTTTCTGGTGACTCCCTTTGGTTGTTTCCTAATAAAGCGTTTGTTAAGAAGGCCCCGTGGACTTTTGAACCCGCTGTCTGTTGATGTTCCAATATCGTTCGTGTGTGTGTGCAAATGTTTGTCGCGTGATGTTGGAACTTCTAAACGCGGCTTCTACTGGCACCAGCCCCGTTTTTGAAGAACATCAACCATTCTTTCATCAACATAATAAAACGAGCAACATTCCCTCCTACTTTAAACTAATTTATATTTAAAATGTCATCAGAACTTGCAATGATTAGCGTGAGCGTGAGCAACATGGCAAATCAGCCCATATTGTTCATCAAAAATTCTTTATGCAAAGGAGACCGATTCTAAATTTTCTTTATAAATAGCACAACAGTCTGTATTCAAGAAAAGGACTGCGCCGTATATTTCCCTCTACTTTACCAAGTAATAGTAATAATAATAATAGTAATAATAGTAATACAACAAGCATGCACTCTATACATGGAATATGGTGAAGATTGGGTACAATGAATAGAAAGATGAGTAGAAAGAAAGAGGGGAAAGGAAAAGTCGCAACATTCTCAAGTTGCCCCCAGTCATGTAATACATACGCACATGCCTATAATGGTGACTATGTAGACAAGATACGGAGCAAGATTTGGAGCAACGAAGCGAAAAAAGAATTTTTATCATGTTTTCAGTAAAGAGCATTTGAACAAAGGGAAGCAATTATTGTTTAGCACATGTTTATAGATTGAGCTCTTGTGCCCATCCAGGAAAAGTCGTCTTAAAGAAAACAATCTTGCATCAAGTCACGAAAGAAAAGTAATGTTGGAAAGAAAACTGAATTTCTGATCAGGAATTTAGATGAAAGCCGTGGTGTGGGAGAAAGGCTGCTGTGAGAGACAGATTGAGGAGGGAAAACATGGATTGGTTTATTTAGTTAATAGGCAAGAGTGGTGTATTGGTGGCTGCAAGTCACTTGTGGAGGATATGTATTTCATGTGATATTTATAAATATATCGACGCGAGCTGGGTGGGTTGGCTGGTTGGCGGATGAGATTGGGCGGAGAGGGAGGACGGGGGCACGAGCAGGCTGCACGAGAAAGCTGAGACGGAGGATGAGAGATAATAAAGAAAGTGGGATGTGTACGGAGGGAGATGTGTTAACATCCGAGGCTCATCTCGCGAAGAATGCGGAGGAGCCGCAGTGTTCCTCATGTGTGATCTGCTCCCTCCTGTATGCATTACACGAGAGGAGAAAGTAGTGTACACCAAATTTATGTTTGGTGTTTGCTATTGATATCCACACTCGATTGCTCGCAGATTTTTCATCCAAGAAGACACTTTCTGAACATCCAAGAAGACAGAAAACACTGGGAGAGGCTGCCACTGTCCTGATAACAACTTGATTTTTCTGAAACATCATATGAAATATATTCAATCTGCTCCCTCAGATAAGCCTTTCAATGGAAAGGCGAATGTGGTGCAGATACTGTCTCTCACCCATGTCTTCTCTTTTGCCAAACAATTTATTACACTCCACGAGATTTTCCCCATTTCCCATGTTTAATATCTATCACCCACATTCACTCAACATCCATCCATACTCGCGTACCTTCCATGTGTCGAAAAATCACATCATCAGTCTCCAAAGTGCCAAAATTTATTTCCACTCAAACTTACTTTCCCCACATCATCAACTCTTTATTAAATTAGGCACGCACCCTGATGCTCTGAGAGACGCTAGATGTGAAGGAGACGAGGGGGTGGTCTTCCCTCCCAACAGCCTAATCTTTGGCATATACTGAAAAAAGCAATTTAACTTGGAAGTTCGGTTGATGTATGTACTTACGACAAGAGAAGACGTACGTAGGAGGCAAAAAATGTCCTTATAATAATTCCAGCCAGATTGTCATAAAATAACGTGTCGTGTTTTTATTTTAATCATCAAATTTTTAGTACGAGTCGTCGCGTTGAAGAGAAAAAAAAGTAATTTTGTTCCTTCTTGAACTTGGACGACCATGCATGTGCATATTTAGCTATTTTTTTCTCCGAAGGGAATCTACTCTTGACTAACTTCCTGTGCAGGAAGAGATAAACGTCGAATGAATATAAATATGTACTTTTGTACGTACTGTAACCACCCTTCGTGGTACTTGTGATCTGGTTGGTTTCATATTCCGATCTTATATTTGTTTTGTTGGCATCACGCTGTGAACCCGCCTAGTCCAATTTGTTCTATATAATTTAATTTGAGCAAGATCATTAAGCACAATGCATCTGCAGAATAATTAAAACTTTAATGAGTCTGGATGATAAATCACCAACCTGCTGCGCTTTAAGATTTCATGCTTTATCTTAAAATCTAAGAGTTTGTGTCTGGGTTATCAATCACCACGGAATATTATCGTCTTTCTCAAAGCACCATTTGTTTCCATTTTGACGTTTCCTTCGGCTGCTGTAATAACTTTGTGAAATCTGTTTACCAAGGAGCATCGTACTTTTAGAAGGAAAATTCCCTCTCAACGTTAACCAAATTGATCACAATGAAACTATGTACAAACTTTGGAACTACACAGGCATTACACGGATGGAAAATTGTAGCAGTTTATTTTACTTACATTATCGAGCCACTATAGGAGCAGGAAAAGATATTGCTCACATAACTTATCTTGATGAAGAGATTACGCTGAACGTGCCTTCAACTAAAGAGTGTAACTTAGACTCCAAGTCTTATCGACCATCAAAAGTTTCCAAACCAAACCCATTACCCATTGCGATTAAGCCCTGACATCCAATCGACCAACCGAAAAATATAATTTAAGTTGGTTGCACACAATCTGCACCAACGTTCTGTCTGCTTGCGAGTCCATGTATGTGGTTACATAATATTACATGCCACGCTACCTCACAACTCTCAACTATAATAATATACCACATACATACATAAGTATAATAATAATAAATATGTATGTATGCAGTGCTACTAACTACTTAAGTAAATGGAGCTATATGTAAGTACGTGAAGATGATTCATACTTAATTTACCACCAGGCAGGAGTTTCACGAAACATGCAGCGAGACGACGAGTCCTCTCATCGCTGCTCTTGTTATTAACTTCTGAGCATTTATCGCACGGCACTCTGTACATTATTGCCGTTGATGATGAAATTTGAGATATCAAACTTTTATCAGTTCACGAGGGAACATCTAATGTGCTTTCTATCTCGATGAGATTGGGGTAGACGGGCAGATTAATATTCAGTGCAATAAGCTTTACTTGTTAATAATCGTAATCACATCCACCAAACTTATGACTCCGTTCGTTCGAGTTATTCTTACTTTTCCAAATTGCGGAGGATGAGAGAATCATTTGGATTCCCATCTAAAAAAATCAGTTCACGTACTTGCATACAAAGGCCCTCCAGCCGTAAGATTTTCGTAAGTGCTACTTTGCTCCGTGTTGGCTAATTACATATGCACAACATACGTGCTTCACAACGCCATGCATCCTCATTTTCCTGTGATTCTATAACAAGAAGCAAACTGGCGTTATTTTTCCTCAACGGAATACCAGTTATCTGCCCAATGTAATTAGATTCTCCGCATGAGAGACTTTTATACTGCACAGCCACTGTCGGTGTCAAGAATTAGAAAGATAATGATACGATCCATATTACATTTCACCAACACGGGCAGCACCACCGGGAGCATTATCTACAAGAACGTACGAATATCTAATGATAATAACAAGGAGGAGGAAACTTCGTCAGCTTCTTGACTCCCTAGTTAACACCTTGTTAAGAAATTCAACAATACTGAAACCATTGTTTAGCTTAATTTCTGTACTTGGCTCTTCAGCTCCATGCAAATTAACCCCAATTACTACGAAGGGCATTTAGGATTAGTTCTCTAACACCCATTATTACTTTACTAGTAATATGTATTGGAATTATCAGGTAATAATAGTGCGCAAATATTATTTTTGAGAAACCAAATGAACAAAAAATATACTTTCCGTGAACACTATGTGTGTTATGTATGTATGCAGATCAGATTTGGTTACATATACGTAAATAGAAATTTACATATACATAAATATATGTGGCACTTATTCTGCATTTACCGTTGCAATTATCTGTGCATTCAATAATGATACTGCAATAACAAAGCTTACTTTAGAGTTTATTTTGAGTTGTTGTTCTTATAAAATCTAATCTTAAATAGCTTGAAAACAATGAAAACTTTTCAGATAAGAAAACCATTGGGAATTGTTGATAAATTAAGAATTTTATAAACCGTAAGATGTGATGTATTTTTTACTATTTCCTACGACTGGCGATGGTATATGTGCATACATACATATTTTACATTCCTATACATCATTGTTAACGCATTAGTCAAGTATTCCAAGTGGTAGATATAGATAAGCCTTCCTTCTTTAATAACTTGCTGCGGTCATTTGGCACATAACGTACTTGCTGATTGTTATCTCACCAATCAAAACTATAAAAATGTTTTAACGAGACATGTATTCAACGATGGTAAAAGTTTATCGTAATTATGATCGTAAATATGATGGCGACGTTGTTGTGAAGAAACGCGAGAATGTTGGAGCAAGAGAAGAAGACGACTTTGCTTAAATGAAGCTCATTATTTTCGAAAAAATCTTGGAATTCTTGATAAAAACGTCATTAAGCTTATCTTTGGTAGCATCGACAAAAATATCGGTGGCTCACACATCCCCTACCTGGGCTTTTTGTAAAACTGACCAACATTGAAGCACTACTAGCAACTTATCATAATTCACATAACTGGTTAAAAATCTAGTCTAGGATAGAATACTAACGAGGTTTGCGAATAGGTATGTATGCACATTACGCATGCACTCGCTCACAAGCTATTTACGTTGTAAGTACTTATTTGAAACCCTTTTTCACACATTCAACTTCCGGATGTGTCATCATTTTAATGGTATCTAAAACATGTCGAGTACACTTAACTGACAATTACCCATACACTTGTCCTATCAGTAATTGATCTGATGCTGTTAATCGAACAAGACTTAAGTAAATTGCTATTAACCTTAACCTTCTTATGCTGCAATACATACTTGCAAGACCGGAAGTTTGAATGTAATACAATTATCGGCCAATTATATAAGCATGCTCAAACTAGTCATAAAAAAGTAAAAACCTACCACAACGTTTCACCGTTCATTTTTTTAAAAACTGTATACATTCCGTAAATCAATAAGACCATTATTTTTGGAAAGTAATAAAAGTGACCCTTTGCGCATACGATAGAACACACGCCCTTAAAATTAAAGATCTAAAGCAATTTCAAGGAACGCGTTCAACATTATGCTCTAACTTTATCTATTAAATTGAATGGATGAGTTTATTTAGAATTTATAGGCAAACAAGTTAAAAGGGTAATAAAAGGTCTGCCGTATAATGGAACACGATGGGTAATGAAAGGCACTGATGACCGTGTGTGTGTGTATTGTGTACTAAATAATGAGGATGAGAGGAGGATATATTTATGTGTGCACATATACCTTGGCTTCTGGTCGCTGAAATAGGTTCTTGGAGATTGAGAACCAAAATTGGTTCCACGACCGAATGGATGGACCAAGCAAGGTTTGTATAATTTTGTGGACATGTATTATTTTATCCGCGTTGACGATGGGGTGACGATAGGGTGAAATGGTGTATAGGTTCTTTCATCAAGTCATGTTATCAAGACACCATCAGCCATAACTTAGATAAATTATTGCCAATGTTTCGGCTACAATAAATGATCATAATCTTCTCCAGGCGATCGGAAACACGCTTCACATAAGGCTCGCGTTGCTGTAAATGGCTTCCTATGCTCTAAACCATTTATACATAAATTCAATTATGATGATGCTTCAAGTACTGTGTTACAGACTCGTTCGCACTGTCTTCTTCTGCTCCCCGATCAAGTCATGTAATTCAATAAACAGCAGATGATAAATAAATGTGACCAGGGTGAAAATGTGTACATATCAGACGATAAACGAATTTCCTACAATATAGCTGATTGTTAGTGCACAATGAGATAAAAATGGCTTTTTGAAACAATAAAAGTCTAATCAACACATTTAAATCAATTTGTAGATTCATTAATTTGACGTGGGAGGGCAACCTTTCACGCCAGCCTTTTTAGTATCAAATAAAACTGCTGAATTTGTTTAAGGTTGAGTAAGTTATTTATGTGCTTTTGTACTTATAACACCCGTTCCGAAAAAAAATTAACAAGTCTTTCGAGCGAAACTTAATTACATGTAAAGTCATTGGCTTGAAAATCACGTAGTAGTAAAACTTCATGTTAATGCAGCGTATTGTTCTCTATTGTCTTCGAAACGAATTTCAAGCGTGGTTTGTAAAGAGGATTAAAAGGTATTAAAAAAGTGGTAAAACAACCCTTTGCTCAACTTCCGTGGTACAAAATATATATTCTTTCTCCGTTTCGCAAACTATTTGAATTAAAATGCACGTTGTGTAATGTTGTTGTACCTGAATGAAACCTACGATCAGTCATTTTTAAATAATGCTCAACCTTAATATTATTAACGTATTTTACGTACGCTAATTTTAATTTTATTTAAAAGTACGGTTTAGTGGACCCCCCGTGCGATTATTGTGCTTTCTTTCTTGTACAAAGGAAGGGAACCTAATAGCGTATGCATGGCGGAAGAGTTAAAAGTGTTATCGATTGAATAAGACATATCTCGTCAGTGTGAGGCAGTAATTATACTGCGTTCAAGAAAACCGAGAACGAATGCGATCCCGTTTTTACGATAAGCAATCTGACTGACTGCATTATTCCAGTGAAGAAGTGCTGGTGAATTTGAATTGATGTAATTCCATACATATCAGTTCTTTGCTGAGTAAAAGTGCAGGAAGCGCGGAGGAAACGGAATAAAAGTCGTACTATTAAAATCACCTTAGAGTTTGGGCTATAAATCTCGGGGAATTTACGAGCATACTCATGCCGTAGCATACCCGTGTCAAAAGTGAGGGTAAAGATTTTATTTTATTCCAGTCAGTCCTCCAAGTGTGGTGGTGGAAATAGATTGAGGGTCGTGGTTCAACTTCAAGTTTCAAAGTCCCCAGAATCTGATTGCGCTAAACTTCCATTCATTTCCATTATGTAAATCAGAGAAAGCGGACTGGAAGGAGATCAATGCATTCAAACGCACAAACTTATCCTTAACACATAATGGATGAGTTATAGCTCTCGACTCAAACGTGATGAGTAGACACCACGTCCACGTTTTGTGTAGCACATAAAGTGAGTGATGCAGATGAAGATGAACATTATTAATGAATTGTCATGCGATTCACACTACCCCATTTCACACCTCGGGACTAGTCTCACACAGGTCGTCCGCATAATAAACGACTCACATTCGCATTATTACAATACCGCATGTGTACACATACAAATCATAAATATCCAGACTATTGGTCCAGGCTACATGGATACATTTCGTGATGATCTTAAAGCACCCCTAAAAATTATGGGGTGCATGAAGACAGAATTTTAAACCTAAAGATGTGACGACGGTGAAGATTACCTCAATATTTCTACATACCGATTGGTTAGGGAACATGTCATTTCACCATAAAATAAATATCCATGCTTTCACACATCCCGATCAGCTTTATCTAGATCCCATTTCACCTTGTGCAGCAGCTTACTTTCTTCAATTCCCGTGGCTTGGGCTCATTGTGTATGTATAAAGTGATGCAAAGGTTGATGGATCACTTGGACTCGTGTTAAGCTTTCCATTTCCCGTGCTGCATATTATTATATTTCGGAACTATCAGTATTCGCTTCTTGGAGGGCATGCACAAGACAATTCATCGTCCACGTTTTATTCTTAACTGAATTACAGTTACCTAAATAAATGCACCTGATCGGGGTGGGATTGTGGCGTTTAACCAGAACATTAATGTAAGTAGTAGTTTAATCCCATCATGACCATTTTTCGTTCGTGTGGAAGTTATGCTCGATAAAGTTTAAGTATACATACATACGCAGGGCAAACTGGGAAAATGGTCAGAAGTCAAAATTAATGAAAGTCAGTATAGATAGCTTTCCTCTCCAGTACGTGATCTTGAACACGGAGCTTGTTTGTTGTATCATCTTTTGAAAATCGTTTAACAAAAGCGTTATCATTTGGAACAACCATCATTCAACTCTTTCTTCTTTCATTTCCGGCTTTGCTTTACGTACTGAATCTTAAATCAGTTTTAATTCCGTACGAGATACGATACGAGTCCGTCCACTGCTTTCTCCATCGCATATTGAACACAGCACGATACATTGTATCTCCAAAGCATGGCGTATGTATGTACATGTCGATTGGCTCTTTCAAAAATTAGATTTGTATTCAGTCAGGCGATACATTTCAAAGGGCTGGTCGAATTATTTTCCTTGATCCATTTTATCACTTTTCATAATTTCCAGTTTGGGTCTGAATTCCGCATATTGCTTCTCAAAATTTTGGATTGTAGAGAAATAAGACAGGAAGGAAACAGTAGAGAGAAGTGCGAGACAGTGGT